AACAACTATCATACAATTCAATATCGTCATTTACTTACTAAATGATTTTTTTTTCAGTAAAAGTTAAACTTTTTTTTTTAGCAACAGGGCTTTTGATACTGTAGCTTAATACTCGATACTCAGCCAGCTCAGATTCTTGATCATGGTTCTCTATTCCCTTTAGAAACAAAACAAAATAAAACAACCCTATAAACCTCTGTATTATGTGAAAGAAAATACAGAGAGAATGATATAAGGAGTACATTTTAAAATTTTATTTCCTTTTATGTGATAGAGTATATATATTTGAGGTACAGGTGTTAATCTAATACATTTGTATAATTTGTAAAGATCAAATCAGTCTAATTGGGATGTCCACCACCTTAAATATTTGTCTGTCTTTATGCAAGAAACATCTGAATTATTATCTTCCAGCTATTTTGAAATATACAATAGATTATTATGAACTATAGTCATCCTACTGATCTATCAAACACTAGGTCTTATTTCTTCTAATTGAACATTTGTACCCATCAATCAACCTTAAAATGTTACATTTTTAAAAGGCATTTGTAGTTTTAAAAATACTAGTCTGTATCTTTTCATGTAAAGACCTAAAAGAACAAGGGTAATATTTTAATAACATACTTTTAAAAATAATTTCCTTTCAAAGAATTCCTGATAACCTTTCATATGTCATTTTGTGATAGCCTGATTTAGAAACTGTTAATGCTTTGTTATTAAGCTAAATGGTCACAATTCCATTAATACTGTAAACTAAAAGTGAAAATTATCTAAATATTACAAGTAAGACCTCAGTGCACTATTCAGTTTCTTACATGGCATCAAAATGATTCTGATTTAATCATATTTGAGTGCAGTAATACTTTTTGTTGCTAAATATTAGTAGGCACAAATAATTTATTGGTAATTTTATTATTACTATTTAAAATACTTCGTTTGGTTAGTCTGATTGTCTAGTTTTTAGTTACTCTGATTTTTTCAGTGAGTTCCCTGTTGTAAGGGGATCATCAGTGTACCAAGAGTTAGAGCATTATCCGAAAAAATCCATAGAGCATGCATACGGATAACTTTAAAATATGCTTAGACAGACTGCAGTATAATCTAAAACCTTAATTTGCCATGCAAGTTCGTATCACTTGTATGAGTGGATGTCAGACATGATGTTTGCCAACTTTGGGAGCCATCACATTGAAGATCGAGAGAGCAGACTTGATGCCATGAACCCAAATGGGACCGGCATTGTTTTCTGATACTGACAATAGAAGGCATCCTCTGATTGTGCATATGTTTGCCACTTAGGACCACTTGCTGAATGGTTTTCATTCAAATAAAAGTTTCCACTAAAAGGCTGCTAACTTAAAGAAATTATCATTCTCTGTTGCTAGAGAAACCTAGCATATTCATTTATGATTATATTAAGAGGGAAGTTATAATATGATTATATTAAGAGTCAGCAAGTCTATGCCATATGTAATTATATTTTTCTAAACCTCGACTTGATTTCAAACTTCAGTCCCCATTCTGCTGGGTGGAGAAAGATCATCCCAGCCAATTCAGATTCATTTTGAACAGAAGTTCCTCTGTCAACGCAGGGATTTATTTTTCTCCTTCTCTTTTTCCTGGCTTGCATTTAAGTTCTAGAGGCACTGCACGCTGGGAGGAGCTTATCTTCTTGCCTTTCCATGTTATTGTATCCAATGATATTGTGTCCACATCTGCTTCCTTGCCAGCATGGGTCTACGGTGAAGCTACTCCATCTTTCCTGCCTTTCTGTGAAAGCAATTGTGTGTGCAGTTTTCTCTACTGTACCCGATTCACTCTTGCCAGTGTGGTGAAACATTTTATAGAGACTTCTACAGGACTGCACCTGACATTCACTGGTGTGGAGAACCCTGTGAGGCTTGCTGCCTCCCAGACTCCTCTTGAGTTAGAGGTTCTCTCTGTGTTCCAAACCTATCTGAGGCTTTCATTGGATAAGTGACACAGTGTATAGAGCCCACATTCAAGGCCATACTAATATCTTAGCTATTGCTGCCTTTTGAGCTCTCTTCTCAGCCTGGACCATCTTTATCTTGTAGCTATATGTAGGTAGCTAGATAGAAGTCTTTTAAATTTGCTGTTTAACACATAAACTTTATGTTCAAAGTTAATCAGGCTTATGTTACTCAAAATGAAGATATCTGAAAATCAAAATTCCCTTTCTTGCAAATGACTTCTTTTGTACTTAAAAACAATGTTCTCTTTTCTTGTTCAACACTGATTTTTCTGCTGTGTTAACCCTGCCATGAGTTGATGCACATAAAAATGCAATCTGAATGGTAAGAGGGTCATAGGTTTATAAGACCACCACAACAATCAAATAATTGGAATGAGTAAAAAGTCATATTGATTAATACATCAAAAGAGTAACAGCCTATGGCTGGTTGTTCTTTCATCACTTTACCAGATCAAGCCCATTGTTTGAAAAGGATAAAGGAGAATAATGAGCAGGATGTCTGGATGACAGATTCTTTATCCTCTTGCTTTATAAAATAGTGATAATTTTTAATATTTACACATATATGAAATGTTACTGATAAATACAATTTCAGAATTTAATCGTGTAATTTTGGTATTCAATTCTGCAGATAAATAACTTCAGTTGAAGCAATACAGTATTAAATAATTGTTTTAACAGTTTGAATTTTAGAAAAGGTATCTCAGATAAAGAGGCTGTAATGATAAAATAGATTAAATGTGAGGTTTATCTTGTATTATTGGGGTAGTTTTCTTAAGAACAGCACTCATTCTTCAAACCTGTAGTGGCTTCTTCTTTGTTTTCCTTACAAATTAAAAAAATTCAATACAGCACTTAGTGACAACTGGGACCTGACTCAAACCAGTAGTATTTCCAGGCTTTGCCTTTTCTCTGTGTGCTTTCTTAAGTCTGCCCCTCAGGGCTCACTGAGCTTCTGCTTTCTTCTCAAATACATTGAATTTTTCCAGTTGCACAAATTGAGACAGCCTATTCCCCTCACCAGGAGGTGCTGCCTTCCTCACAGTGGATGAGCTGCTCCTGTCCTTCCATTCCACCTCGTGTCTCCCTCAGTCTCTGCCGCTGCCGCTGCCCCCTTTCCCCCCATCAGAAGCGATCTCCAGGCTCTCTCATAGCTCTCCTATGCCGATCACTAAAGTTAACATGTCTTATGGATATTTATGAGTAAAAACAGGACTAGACACAGAAGATTAAATCTTGAGGTTTAAAACCCTGCTTTAAACCTCACCAAGTCATTTCAGTTCTTTGACCATCAGCTCAGCATGTGGATTTTGTAACTAACCCTGCACTATTTTCAGTCTGAAGTTTATTGACTAAAGTTTTCAACTCTTGGTGTACAGAAACCAAGTCTTAATTTCAAATAGTAATTTTACTCGGTAACGATATGCTAAATCTAATAGAAAAGCTTACTGATTAGTCTCATGGGATAACTGGGGCAAATAATGGTAATGTTTGGTTATTTTACTCTTATTGACAAGGGGTCGGTGAGGAGTTGGTCACAGACCAGCCTTTCCCTTCCCTTTGTTTTAGCCAATAATTGTGAGTTACTTCTTTTATAACCAAGTTTTAACACTCCTTCTTTGTAAAACTAGGGAGAGGTAGAATATAGTAGTTTATAGCAAAGAAAAGGGCTGAAAATTAACTACTAATTCACAATTCGCTTGACAAGCTTCTGATTAAATTCACAAAGTCTTGCCAGGTAAATACTAAGTCATACCACTTTATTTCAAAGAGAATGAAAATACTTCCATTTCTTAACAACAAATTAAGCTTTTTCAGTAGTTCAACAAGTGGCATTAGGTGTTTTAGCTCACCACTATAGCTTCATGTTTTATTATGTGTTCATGCTGATGAGATTATCTGTTTCAAAGAAACAAAAAATAAGCTTACCTTCATCCTTCTTTGTAAATCATATCCATTACTCAATTGTGTGTTCTTTGCTTGTGGCTACCTGAAATAATGAGAAGGAATAGAAAAAGAAAATTAAATATAACTCAACAGCATTTTGTAAAAGGCAAATATTTACCATTTTAATTGATGACAGACACACACTTCATAATACTATAAGCATGCAACTCCAGCTGCAAAAACTGAACAGCAATATGCCTAAGCTGGTTAGCAGCAAAAAAGTAAACCAATCACATCGACAAAAAGCCACCATAAACAAAAAAACTGTATTTAAAAGATTAACAGTTTTGGCATTCATCCCTACCATCAAGTCTTTCAGTTTCTTTTTTTCCATCAAAATTTAGCTTACTTTTGAAGTTAGCAAGAGTTGCATTACTATTATTGTTAATTTTAGTTCTGTTTATTGCCTTGAGGGTTATATATTGTAAAATAATTTTGGTGCCTCTAGTTAATGTTAATTAGTTGTTTTAATAGCCTATAGACCTATTTGTTATATTTTTGTAGGTTTACTTTTTTAACTATCAGGAACTTAATAACTGAGAATATTTAACATTACTGTTGCATAGGCAAAATTACAGAGTTACTATTAGTGTTACCTGTTTAACGTTTAGTCATCCTTTGAGTCCTGCGACATATTTCCTTAATAATCATCAGCCATCAAGTCTGATAGTCTCAAAAGAAATATCAGCCCTCTAAACTGCCTTCAAGGGCGGTGATATTTAGCACTGAAAATTACAAATAAAGTTTTTGAGGTTGAATAGCAACAACTGGCCAGTGACACTGATGATTTGTTTGTCGAAACAAATTGTTATAAACTACGCAAATGAAGTCCACGCACTCCTTTGAGTGAAAACAAGAAAGTGAATCTACGCAATGCTTACATGTTGGATGGGATATTAATGTGCGGGGAAACTCAAAGGTTGAAGAACTAGGCATTTAGACAGTGGTAAGTGGTAATCTTACCTCTTTATACTCCATTACTCTTTCTCACGAGAGACATGCTAATGCAAACAAGTCAATCAGAATTTGTGTTTAGCAAGATAAAGCTTAGAGGATAGTTTAAAATCCATTTATTATTCTAAATCCATTTTTTTCCATTAACATGTTATACATTAGTGTTTACTAACCATGATTCATGTAACAGTTTAGTTTGTTAACTTTTAAATTATTTAACAACCATAAGTTATTAATACATTTTTAAGTATTACACAAAAATCTTAAAACAGGCTTGGGTTCATTTTTGTAATTTTTAAATAGAAAACATTTTAGGCATCTCTTGAAGAAGAAATAAAGCAGGCATTTAAAGCTAGAAAACAAGTAATTCCAAATTTAGTTTTTACAAAAGTTTTCAGCTTTATTGACAAATTATGGCAAACATATTTGACAAATTGTGGTTTCCTATTTAGAGAAACTTACACATGGAACTTTATGTGTGTGTTTTTTTCTTTTTTTAACAAATACAGGTTAAAACACTGAACAAATTCAGTTAGCTACATACATACAGTAGCTGCTGCTTTTCAACCCCATTAAAACAGCATTTAAAATTAAATTTACAAACTTAATATCGAACATCTTTGTCTAACTAACAGATATTAAAAGACAGGTTAAAACATCTTATCTACAACTTTATTATCAGCTAGTTCAAAAATCATATTACAGTCTTTTAGCAACTCTAAACAAAGTTTCTGCTAGTTGGTTGAGACTCAAAAATCTGTTAACAGATTCATGCTCTTTCTCAAAAAAAAAAAAAAAAAAGATTACACACAACAATGAAAACAACTAAGAGAGTGTATCATTCTACTGAAAGGTTTCTAGACTATGCTTGCCAATGTCTTTTTCAGTCCGTTTTGTAAAATAATGCTAGTGTCAATGTCACGCCAACAGTATAGAGGGAAATACAAGAAATATATGGGAGTAATCATGAGCAGTTATCCCTAGAATAGAAAACAAACAAACAAAAAAAGGACTATTACTTGTCTTGTTGCTGTTTATGTGGAGACCACAGGCTATGAATTGTCTTTGAGGTGAGGTCACAGGTGGGAAGGACCTTCAATATCTACCATAGGGGTGTTCCCTGTATCCCCCTCTGGCTGACCTCGGAGGTGGTGCCTTCAAGCTAGAGCGGGTTGTGGCCCATTCTTCTGTTGCTATGAAAAAGAGAAAGACAGTAATACACATATGACTTCACAGTTACCAAAAATAATCATTTAAGACACAATAGTTGACCAAGAAGAAGAAAATAAAAGATCTCAAAACTGAACAGTAAAGCCTATTTTTTCTACATCATGGGACCATCCAAAAAGTATGAGTATGTAAATGTGTACTGAGTATTTATTATGTGTTAGATTTCAATGCCACAAAACAGAAAAAGTACCATGTGAACCCCTGCCCATAAAATCTTTTTACACAGAATTCTTAAAAAAAAAAAATTGGATATAGTAAACCGGTAGTCCTTAGCCCTTGAATAACTTGAGAATCACCTGGGAATATTAAACAATCAAAAGATAACTAACGTCTGTTCTCTGTTCTCCAAATCTACTGATTAGAAAACTACAGGTTGGGACCTAGGGTTTGATATTTTTCAAATACTCCCCAGATGACTGTTATATGGGTTGAAGTCCCTTGTGCTAACTTGTATAGAGAAAGTGATAGATAAGCAGATTACAGAGTAGAAAAAACTTTAAGCAGCAAAATCAGTAAACAAAACAAAATGAACAACAAAAACCCGAAAGACGTCAGTTCTTCTGAGTAAACAACTCAGTAAATAAAGAAGTATTAGTACACTAGGAAAACTCCATTTACCTGCTAATCATATTTCTATTACCCTAAATATTTTGAAATCTAGCCAAAAAGCAAGAAACAAGCAACCAAGCTTTCTAGTACTGTGGAAAATAGCTATTGTCAAGTCTGTGTCCCCAGAAAGGATAGTCTTCTTTAAAAGAATTTAATGTTGGGTTTATGGTGACATTTTATGTAATTCCAACAACGAGGTTATTTTGGTCTCTCAGTCAGAATTTAGTTCCTCATAAAGAACATATTTCATGTGTGGGTGGGTAAAGGGAGGTGTGGACAGAGGGAAGATGATTACTACATAGATATTGATAACTGATATATAAAGTAATGGAAATATTAACTAGGAAATAAGTGCAGACTGAGGACAACAAATGCAGAGTGTTTACTAATAGACAGTTCATCTGTTCATAAGAATTAGTTGAGAAAGATTACAAGAAAAGCATAAAAAATTTCAGTTGTACGCATTATAATATAGAGCAAATGAAAACAATCTACTATGTAGAAAAATGATCAAAAGTTTATCAGTATTGGGAAAAATGGCACTTAAATGGACAAAAATGAGTTTTCTGAGCATATCCTCACCAGGGTGTTATTATTACAACTAATACCTGATAATAAAGAAAAAATTGTCTCTATTTAGTATTTTATTTCAGTATGTGATAGGATATAAAATTGGAGTAAGAAACTAAATGAATATGAAAAATGTTGCCATTGCTCAAAATATAGGTTTACCTGTATCACAGGTTGTCATACTCTGGCCTGTGAACCAGATGTGGCCAGCTGTTTGTTTTGTAAATAGTTTTACTGGAACCCAGGCATGCTGCTTATTTACATATTTTCTATTGCTGCCTTCACCATAGGAAGGAAAAGTTGAGTAACTGTGATAGAGATTATACTGCATAAAAATAAAAAATATTTATACTCTGGGCTTTTACAGAAAAGGTTTATAGATCCCAGTTCTAGACCATATTGTTTTTGGTGGGAAAATGCAAATGTTGGTCTTGGTGAAATCTTTCTGCTGTAATCTTTTGAGGGCAGGAATTTATCCCCAAACCATTTATATTTCTCTGATACAAATGAGCAGAGTATTTTCCATGCATTTGCTTGATTGGAATTAAATAAAACTGGCTTGGTGTACTCAAAGAGAACACACAATTAGCATGTGCAACCCTTATGTAAAATGAACATTTTTATACCGTGCTTATGAGACAGTCAAGACTATATCATTGTTCTTATCCTCTGATGGTAAAATGTATCCCTATTTACTATGATTTTTAACAAAACAAATGTACTACTTTTTGCTCCAATTTTCCTAGAGTATTAGAAATCACTGGGTTTCAGTCTATAGGATTTAAGAGCTGAGATCATAGAGGTTTCAAGTTTTCCCAGGACTTAGAAGTCCCAGGTTCTTTCTTAGATTCTGAATGTTCCTGCAAAACAGCTGAACAACCATGAGCAGAGTGACAGAATACTTGTCACATACACTCCTAGATTTTTTCAGAATTGTAAATTGACATAAACCCCTGGACTTGCTACAGAGGTCCTAAGTATTTAATAAGTACTCATTGACATGGCTTCAGGTGACTTTTTCTAAATCTCTAGGGCAGTTAATCGATGAACTAACTCTTCGTTTCCTAACTGTTAGCCAGCATTAGAACAGGGATTGTCCCTATTCACTGTTGTTTCCCCAGTGCCTGGGAGAAAGACAATGCCTAGTTAGGGCTGAATGCAGTGAAAGATTACATGAAATAAAGGATGGATGAATGAACAAAGGAATTATGCAGAAAGTTCCAGTGATAATGCAAAAAAACAGATATAGTTGAGCTATGGAAATTTAACATTTATTTTAACATTTATTTAACATTTAAATTTAAAATTTAACATTTATTTTAACTAGAAATCTTATATACTTGTTATAGAGTTAAAAATCATACTTCTTACTCAAAAGGGTTAGTTATCCATCAAAAATATTTCACTACTGAACTCAATGAAGAAATTGTAGTGGGATCCCATTATTAAAAAGCACAAAAACATCATGTTTCATGGCAGAAAAATGTGTTCTTTTATAACTCTCTGCCTTTATGTGGATTAATACTATGCTCTCTCCTCCTTGCTCAAGGCTACGAAATGGAAATTGTTAGTTCATGATACTTGTAACTGGGAAGGTAAAATGCCAGCCAAAGTGAATTCCTACCCAGCAAAAGTAAAGTTTCTGATTTTTCAAGATTCCACACCATTAGCAGAAGAAATTAAGGACTTATTTCACTTAATTCAGACTTTGTTTCCATTGTTTACATGATCTTGATAACAACAGTAAACAAAGATCAGGAAAAATATTATTTTTATTTATGTCCATCTATATCTTTCCTAATACCAGATTGTTTATATATAGTTACACATTTACAGTTGCCACATGATAATGCACGCCACTTTTTGTTGGCGAAAATAAGTTCTTTGTATTGCGCTTAGAAAGTACTGATCCAATGACTGTTTTTCCAGCAGTACCATATAGTGTGTCATTGAACTTTATATGGTCAGCCAATCCTCTCATTGCTCACCAGTGGTATTTAGGCCTCTGATTTCTTTATTATAAGTACCACAGATAGAAGGGATTCTAACTTGAGTCCCATGGATTCTTGAACATGGAAGAGACCCAAACTTAGGTAGAGACAAACCATGACTGGGTCACACATGATGGAATTTCTCTGAAATTTGAAGTTATAAAGACCCACGAATGAACTCAGAATTTATCTGTCTTCCTGGGTCTCTTACGAGACAAGTAGATTGTAATTCTTTTTATTGTACTTTAGGTGCTTGGGTACATGTGCAGAACATGCAGGTTTGTTACATAGGTATACATGTGCCATGGTGGTTGGCTGCATCCATCACCTTGTCATCTACATTAGGTATTTCTCCTAATACTATCCCTTATATAGCCCCACATCCCCCGAGAGTTCCCGATGTATGATGTTCCCCTCCTTGTGTCCATGTGGTCTATTGTTCAACTCCCACTCATAAGTGAGAACATGTGGTGTTTGGTTTTCTGTTCTTGTGTTCATTTGCAGAGAATGATGGTTTCCAGATTCCTCCATGTCCCTGCAAAAGACATGAATTCATCCTTTTTATAGCTGCATAGTGTTCCGCAGTGTATATGTACCATATTTTCTTTATCCAGTCTATCAGTGATGGGCATTTGGGTTGGTGTGAAGTCTTTGCTATTGTGAACAGTGCTGCAATAAACATACATGTGCATGTGTCTTTATAACAGAAGGATTTATAATCCTTTGGGTATATACCCAGTAATGGGATTGCCAGATCAAATGGTATTTCTAGTTCAAGATCCTTGAGGAATTGCCACACTGTCTTCCACAATGGCTGAACCAATTTACACTTCTACCAACAATGTAAAAGCATTCTAATTTCTCCACATCCTCCCCAGCATCTGTTGTCTCCTGACTTTTTAGTGATTGCCATTTTAACTTGTGTGAGATGGTATCTCAGTGTGGTTTTGACTTGCATTTCTCTAATAACCAGTGATGAGGAGCTTTCTTGCATATGTTCGTTGGCTGCATAAATGTTGCTTCTGAGAAGTGTCTGTTCATTTCCTTTGTCCAACTTTTGACTGGGTTGTTTTTTTCCTATAGATTTGTTTAAGTTCTTTGTAAATTTTGGATATTAGCCCTTTGTCAGACGGGTAGACTGCAAAAATTTTCTCCCATTCTGTAGGTTGCATATTCACTCTGATGATAGTTTCTTTTGCTCTGCAGAAGCTCTTTGGTTTAATTAAATCTCATTTGTCTATTTTGGCTTTTGTTGTCATTGCTTTTGCTGTTTCACTTATGAAGTCTTTGCCCATGTCTATTTCCTGAATGGTACTGCCTAGTCTTTCTTCTAGGGTTTTTATGGTTTTAGGTCTTACATTTAAATCTTTAATCCATCTAGAGTTAATTTTTATATAAGGTGTAAGAAAGGGATCCAGTTTCTGCTTTCTGCGTATGGTTAGCCAGTTTTCCTAACACCACATATTAAATAGGAAATCCTTTCCCCATTGCTTCTGTCAGGTTTGTCAAAGATCAGATGGTTGTAGGTTTGTGGAGTTATTTCTGAGGCCTCTGTTCAGTTCCATTGGTCTATATCTCTGTTTTGGTACCAGTACCATGCTGTTTTGGTTACTGTAGCCTTGTAGAGTAGTTTGAAATCAGGTAGGTTGATGCCTCCACCTTTTTTTTTTTTGTTTAGGATTGCCTTGGCCATGTGGGCTCCTTTTTGGTTCCATATGAAATTTAATTAGTGTTATATCCTAATTGTGAACTCAAGGAGGGTTAAAAAAATGCCTGACAAACTTCAGGCTGCA